TTCGGGCAAATATGTGTGAATGTGTTAATTTTTTTTCTCATTTTTTTTAAATGTCCGGTCGACCGCGCACTTGATTTAATCGTAATTTGTATACAAGGCACGATTTTCAGTGTTCAGAAATATGTTATTATGTTTGTGAGGGGCATACTGATAAATCTGTTACTTTTCCTAAACTAAAGACAGTTAACCACATTTTCTATGAAGACTTAATATAAAAAAATTATGAAAGAGGTAGTAAAATATACGCAGTAGTTTATCTCAAATACGAAGGGTGAATGAGATTGTAACATCTTAATGAATTAAGTCATTCGATTTTAAGTCATTTTTCGAAAGCTGACTTAAGATTTAAAAATTAAGTCTTTTTCAAAATGATTTAGGTGATTTAAATCTTTACTAGCTTTTTCCCCGCATGAGTACTTTCGCGTTACACCTTGAATCGCTCATGCATTGATTTAAATGATTGTTTAACTCTTTATAGTTACAAATGCACTATTTGAACTATATTTTTAAGAGTTTTAGAACTACTCGTATTTCATATGAAGTTAGCAATTGTCGATTTTCTGGGTATTATAAAGGGCGAATCTTCAATAAGTACAAATATTTGCAGGGTTTGTAGATCTCGATAAAAGAAACATATTTTCTCTTTACCGTTTTTCAAATAACTCCAAAATAACCGAGTTATCTACTTTAAAAATTTCTAGAAAAAACATTTTTTCCTTAAATTTTGAGAACCACTGGATTTGAGACCAAAGGTACCCTAATAAATAACTGCAGATGTGAAGCAAGGCAGGAACAAAGAGAAGATACAAGAAATGATACCGACTTGGAAGTTTTATTGTGCGTGGAAGAGAACGATGGAAAGATCAGCACAAGGAAACTTGAGGAGGAAATAGGAATAGATCACACTACAGCGTTTCGAATTTTGAAACGACATAAATACTATACCTTTAAATATGAAAAGCACCAAGACCTACGAGATGGGGACCTAACGAATGCACGTTTACCTTAAATAATGAACCCAATATTCAAAATTATCGATATTGGAACAAAGAAAACCAACACAGGTTTGTCGAAACAAGGACGCAATATCCACAGAAAGTAAATGTTTGGGCAGGGATATTCGGACACAATATTATCGGGCCATTATTTCTTAGGCGAAATTTAAATGCAGAATATTATTTGGAACTATGTACTCGAAAATCATATTTTACCTGCTTTACATGATGCCGCTAGGGAAAATCAGGAAGTTTGGTATCAAATGGATGGCTGCCCGGCACATAGTACCCTGGTTGTTCGGGAATATTTATACAATAGTTTTAACGGAAACGTTATTGGCCTAAATCATACGGTAAATTGGCCAGCAAGGTCTCCTGATATTTCGCCAAATGATTTCTTTCTCTGGGGCCATTTAAAAACAGGATAAAAATACCCAAGTCTAGACGAGTTAAAAATGCTATTTCTGCCGAATGCAATAGAATTTCAGTTAACCAACTAGCGAATGTAAGAAGAGAATTTTATGATCGCCTGGGTTATTGTCTAGCAGTCGATGGAGGAATATTTGAACATCTTCTTAAATCCTAAAGTTCTAACAATTTAATAGTACTTAAATTAATAAGTTATTGAATATTGTAATAATACTATAATTAACCTTGTAATTGATTACTTTATTTTACTTTAATTCATATTAATTTGTATTTATAAATACATCTTTAAGATTTCCGATGTAAGAATGAGTTTTCAATAATAATAAAGCACTAAATAGGTAAATTTCTGAAATGACAACTTCATTTGACAGTTATCCTTTACCTTGACTGGTGCTCATAAGTAAATACAGGGCCATAAAGAGGAGAAATATTTAAAAAGAAATCGGCGATAACTCGTAAATGAGCTAATCAAAAATATCTAAAGTTATTCTTTTGAATGTGGGTTTTAGTGCTCTTCAATAAACTTAAATAGAATTATTCTCTAAAATAATTAGGGAAGCCAATAATTGACCCCATTAAAATTTACATGGGATTTCCTATGTCCCGTCCGACAATGCAACACCCGGTATACTGACTAAGTTGACATCTGGTTCCGGTATAACAGGAACTATATAATATAAAGTACTAAAATCTCTAGTAGTAAGTAAATAATACTTAATCTGGGGGTGGTAATACTATTTACTATACTATAGTCAAATGGTCAACAATAGTAATTTCCCAAATTTTTTTACTTTTCCTTATTACCCTTTTTGCTATAACAGCCGAAATAATTATTCTCGGAGAAACACTTTGTATAATAAACATTTTGCTAGTTGAGCTCTGTTTCTACGAACATTATTTATATTAACTTGACTCAAGGATATGTCAGCTGACATGACTTGAATTTTAATAAGCATTTTACTAAGCTTGCCTTACTCCGCTTATGATTAACATACTTGTTATAAAACAAAATTTACTATAAAAAATAATCTACAAAACACATATTATGTAAAAAAGGAGAATTTTCGCAATTCTCACATTTGTCAACATTCATGGAACACAGGCCATAAACCATAAAGTAGACTAAACAATTCAAAAATGATAATGAGAGAACCGATAACCTCTATAGAAAAAAAAATTAAAAAAAAATTTCTAATCCAATCAAACATAAATAAATAAAAGTGAAATAAGTTTAAGAATAAATCTAGTTAATCAGGCATCTGTAGATTTTAGTAATGTATCCCATAGTGATGTTGGTAGCTAATATTTCCATTCGAATTTTGCAGGAAATTTCAGAAATTTCCGAAATATTCGGTCCCAAAATCGCGAATATTCGCAAAAATCCGAATTTTGCAAGAAATTTCTTTTCAAAATTGAGCAAAAATTTAACGAAAGTGTATCAAGTATGTCTATTCTTAAGTCGGAAGAAAAATAATGCTTCTCCGCCTTACAAAATAGAAAACGTATGGCTCTTAAAATAATGCATTTTGCCGCAAATCTCTTGGCCCCCTCTGTTTCCTGGGAGAGCACCTTAACAATGAAGAACACATAGCCGCTATGGAATTTATCAACAATATCACCAACAAACATCCTCAGTTTGTCAATAATAAAGAAGCCATTTTTACAGATGTAACAAATTATTGCGCCAAATCGGGTTTATGGGCTCTCGACTACGTTTGGATGTCAGTTAAAAATGTAGACTGTCTAAGTTGGTGGCAAGCAATATGTAAAAATACTCAGTTGAAATATTTAGCTGTTGCTCTGCTGTCTTTACCAACGTCATCTGCAGCCACTGAGAGAAGTTTCAGTACTTACAGTTTTATCCATACTAAAAAAGGAATCGCTTAACTGCACAAAGGGCCGGCAAAATAATGTTCGTAGCTCATAACAATAAATTATTACTACAAAAACAAAAAGTGGATATGGAACATGATATGCAACAACATGAAACTTCTCCAGAACCACTAGAACCCGTAGAAGTAGGGGTCCATCCTTCAGAATCAGAACTAGATGATACATCAAATATATCTGATTTGGAAATAAAAGCTGACGAAAACAGTACTACTACTACTACTATTACTACTACTACTACTACTACTATAATACCCTATGAAGATGGGACCAGCTCGGCGCCTGTATAGTAAAGTATTCCGGAATAGAATAATTCAGTTATTTGTGTTTTACGTTTTTTAAATTTATATTTCGTGCTTTTTTTTAAGTTCATAGTCATAGTTCATGGTTTATGTTTCATAGTCATAGTTCATGGTTTATGTACAAAGTACAAATGTTACCAAATAATTTTTGTTATATGTTATGTTTATGACTTTTAGGAGTTATGTATTGTTTATTAAAAATATAACAACTAATATTATGTTTATTGTTTTTTCTTCCACTTACATGTTGTTTTTTCTTCCACTTAAATGTCTATCTAATTTATTCATTGTATCAACAAAAAATATGTAAAATTGTAATATTTCCTAAAATTTCATAAATTTCCGAAAGTTTCGGAAATTTCTTGCAGCAATCAAAAGTTGTCAACAACTGTCTTGAGGTAGTAATAATTGCTAATTTGGAGTTAATTATTTTGTAATGTCAGTTTATAAGAACGTCAACGGTTTTAATAGACGTGTGTGTAAGTATTCTTATCTAAAGAAACAAGAAACAGGTGTCTAAAACGATCTCGTTGTTAGTTACATTTAGGCTTTATTAATAGTTTATGTTCTCTTAAGCTGCTTTGATTAAAGCTTGCAGAGGTTCAGCATTTGCCATAAAATAGCGAGCAATTTGTTACAAAACCACATAAATTATATATCACTGTAATCACAAAACTTCAACTATATCGGTATTGTAACGGAATTTTAAATTATGTCTTTATTTTCGAGAAAATGTAGTCCAAACATAAGGAATATTTTGTTGATGTTTGACCATCAAAATCTTAAAAATAAAGAAGTTATCTAAAAATGTGCTATAATACGGATATAGTATAATCCTTTAACTTTAATTTCCTTCTTCATTTGTGTAAAAATACCTAGCCAGTCTTACATAAAACGTTAAATGCCGAACGCTTATTTTGCTACTTTTTCGGACTAGCGAATTCGAAAAATGACTTAAAATCAAATCAAAAATGTAGTCATTAAAATGATTTCAATCAAAAAACGATTTAAATATTTCTGTGAGCTGTTCTACCTCTAATATAATAGAGGGTTATCAAAATGCATAATATATCCTTCTATATCCAGAATTTTATTTATTAACTTGATTCAAGAATATGTCAGCTGACATGACTTGAATTTTAAAGACTCTCCTTCGTTTATGGTTAACGTACCTGCCAGTTGTATTTTAAATAAAAATCTACAAAACACCTACACACTAAAAAACAATCGAGATAACAAAATATGAAAGAAGATAACGAAATAGTGAATGCGATATGTTGAAAAATACAGATAAGATTAAAGAAAAAAAGAAAACTTGTCCTTGATAGCTTGATAATTACTGTTTGATAAAGGTATAGAATAGAAATATAGATTAAATATTTACCTATTCGTACAGAAAATAATATCCAACACTGCTATTCACATGTTATATCCATGAACCACTTAAAAAAACACTTGTACGCGAAAGAATATTTGCAGAAAAAAAATAGAAAGTGTTCTAGTAAACTACACTAAGAAGAATAAACTAACTAACACACAAAATAAAAGAGAAACAATCAAACTCAAATTAAATTTGTCAAAAATCACTTTTTTCTCCGAAAGTCGTTTTTGTTTACGGTCTTCGACGAAGGTTCAAAAATTCCGAATCACGATTGGTGCCGAGCGAGATAGAGTACTGCGGTACGACTGAGTTTACCTGCGTTCTGTCCCGTACAGGTGGAAAAGTGGTACTGCGATGTAGTATCACAGGCCAACAGGTGTGTCGAAGGTATGCCGTTATACGGGGGAGATGAAAAAAATCGTCGGTGATATGGTGTCCAGTTGGCTGTGGATTTCTTACGATAACTGTTTGATATAGTCGATGGAATGGTATGGTGCGTTGATTATGATTTAATAAAGATTTGTTTATGAAAAAATTATTTTAGAAAATTTTTCGGATTCTATAAGAAAAAAAATTGGCGCCGGGAGGCACGTATAGCCGCTCATACTAAAATATGTTAATAAAAAGTTGGTAGCCAGTTCTTTTAGTTTCAAAGTAAAGGAATTTTTCCAATTTTGGTCCGTGGATATTTCCCCTATCCGCCACCTGGGGTCGCGTCCGATGGGAGTTTGGAGTTCTCCAAAGAGTTTTATCAAAAACGGACTACGGAAACACGGAATATCTCAAAAACTGGGACTTTGACTGATTTTGATGTTTGCAAATTTTGTTGCAAATATTATTTCTAATCATAAATTGAAAACCGCGTTTCGGTAGCTACTGTAATTCTGGAGTTAGGATTTTTTAAAATGTTTAACCCCCTCCCATACCCCCTTACCAACCCCCCACCGCCACAAAAAACTAATGGCCAGATTCTCGGGTGCCACAGTATTTTTGTGCCAAATTTGGTTAAAATCGGTTTAGCGGTTTTTGAGTTATCGTGTTACAGACGGACAGACAGACAGACAGACACCATGAAAATATTTTGTATTTGGGTCATTTATGAGCCAAATAACTAATTTTGAGTGTAATTAAAAAAACTTTTTTTGCCGATCTTAATAGCCTACCATACCTGTTGGTATGGTCGGCTAATAAAGGTGAGTTTTTGTAGAGAAGTAATGAAGTATTAAGTATGACTTAAAAGTAAAGTTTATGGAATATTTTTTCGAAAAATGAAGAACAAAAATTTTAAATTTCAGTACAAGCTACCTAAATTGGAATTTACCCGGTATAGCTTGGTATTTGTATTTGTATTTGACTAAGAGTGGGTCCCATAGGGGACCCTCCACTGAGGCCGCGAGGGCCTATTGTGGCTCAGTTTCTACAAGCTCTAATTTACAAGAGCGTCAAACTTCATCCTCAAGACCCAGCCTCTTAATATAGGCCGTTATGTCTGAGGGCGATATGTCTCCTAGGTCTGATGGTCTAGCATGGGTTTGCCAAACATCTCAAACCTGGTCCTGCTCCCAGCGGGGCAGGTACACATAACGTGCTTCATTGTTTCATCATCTTCCATACAGAGTCGGCATTCGGCGTCTTCCACCAGTCCCGTCCTCTGTAGGTGAGATCTCAGCCGGCAGTGGCCCGTGTACACTGCAGTGAGCACACGCGTTCCATTCCTACCGGCCTTTAGGAGTTCTCCTGTTCTATGTTTGGATGGCCCTGCTAGGATTTTCTTGGCATGCTCCATTCCGGACTGTCATTCCAGTCTCGGAATGTCTCACCCCTAACCCATTCACAGAGCCTGTCTCTTGCGAGATTTTTGGGAACGCTAAGTGTCGGTTCTGGGCCCACGAATGGCGAGCCTGCACCAATTTTGGCGAGGGAATCAGCACGTTCGTTTCCCCTCTAGGCCGACATGTCCCGGTATCCATATTAGCGACACTTTGTTCCTATCTCCCAGTATATTGAGTAGTTTCTTACAATGAAGAATCGTCATAGACGTGCTTTTCGTTGCCTCAAGTGCTTTCAGCGCAGCTTGACTATCCGAAAATATGCATATTGTTTCCGGTGTATTGCTGTTCTACCAGCAGTTGCACACAGGTTTCAATAGCATATAGCTCAGCTTGGAAGATCGTGGTGTGTTTTCCAAGACTGTGGTAGATCTCAGTCTTTGGACTGCTGCAGTAAATTCCTGCGCCAGATCCTTTTTCGTTTTGGATCCGTCCGTGTACCTCAACACATTTCCGCACGTAATAAGCCGTTTCCCGGCTTATCCCACTCGTCCCTGTTCGGAAACAGGACGTTGTAGGTGCGCGTCAAGAGTTGGACTGGTGGTGTAAGATCCGAGATCATTCCCATAATCTCATCCGACTGTAGTTCTTCTACTAGCCGGTTTTGTATGAACATAATTGTTCCTTGGCTTCCTCGTGCTATTTTTAGAAACCTATATGTAGCCCATCTCGCCTCTCTTTCCAAAAGAATTTGAAGAGGAGGTAGATCGAGTAGGGTTTCCATAGCTTTTGACGGCGTGGAATGGAAGGCACCAGTCACCGCTAAGCATGCTTGTCGTTGTAATTTCGACAATTTATCCTTTGCCGTTATTTGGTTGGCTTTCTGCCACCAGCAACTGCGCCATACGTGATAATAGGTCTGATGGCCGTCACGTATAGCCAGTACATATTTTTGGGGTTTAATCCCCAGTTTCTACCACAAATTCGGCGGCATGCCCATAGAGCATAGCAAGCCTTTTTTGATGTTTTTTCCAGATGAGAGGTCCAGCTAAGTTTTTTGTCCAGGTTTAATCCTAGATACTTAACTTCCTCCGCAAACGGAATTGTCTCACCAAGAAGAATGGGCGGTTTCAGTTTGTCTGTTTTCCTTCTTCTGGTGAATGGTATGATCACGGTTTTCTGTGGGTTTACACTTAATTGTTCCAGTGTGCACCAGCCGTGAATTGCATCTAGGATTTCCTGTATTTTTGAGGAGATGTCCTCCTCTTTGTGTCCTTTTACTAGGATCACCAGGTCGTCCGCTTGGTATAGCCTAATATGTAGTTAAAATAACTATTGTAAATTAAATCAAATTAAAACTTGACACAAAAATTTATACTGGGTGAGACAAAATTAATATTGAGCATTGGTCGCCTCTTTCGGTCGAAGCAAATTACACTTTTATTTTAAATGGAACATTCAGTATATTATTATTGGGTTATATTATATTCAATGAGAAATTCGTGTCTCTTCAAAAAATATTAAGGTTACCTTAATAATATTTTGAAGATTGATGAATTATTGCACAATAACAAAAATGAATTAATATTAATAAGTTAAACAATAAATTAATTATTGCAGTCAATAACGAAAATTTGACGACGTCAAATAAATTATTCGATTGTTTTGATTCTACCCAATATAAACCGGCGCACAGTGGAATGGCTATATGAGGACACAGAGACATATTTTAAAAAATTTATACTTATATTTGAATTCATGATAATAATAGCAAATTTATACACTTGGGAACATAATAATTTATATATTTATTTATTTCTATTTACAAAATTAATTTTTCTAAATGGCCAAACATAGATAGTTATAAACTTCAAATCTCAATTCTCCATGTTAATAATTTTTGTATGAAGTTCAGGTTCAAATACAGGGTGGCCCATCGAAAAAGTTCCGCAAGGCATAACGGCCAGGGTATGTTTTTTTTCAAAAAATCCAAAAACACGTCAATTTTGTTTGTGAGGGGGGCAACTTTTGCCCCAAAAATGATTGCAAAATCGTCAACCCTCTAAGCGGGGGTGTCATCCCCCAACTTTTTTCAAATGGGAAAGGGGGTCAAGTGGCGCCGCAATGGAAAGAGCTTTCTATTCTCTATATTTCCCCGCTTCGTTTTTGAAAATCGGTCTAGTCATTTAGAAAATATGAAGGATTGAAATTTGAAAAGTTTATTTAAACATTTATCAGAGTAAATTATAAAGATAAATTCCTTCGACCAATTTGCTGTTTTTTCTTATTATTTTTAGATGTTTACGCATTTTTTCACTTGCCACAAGGTTGATAATCAGGTGCGGTAGTTGCTAGATAGCTGTTCTGTGACTTGTGCGTTGAAGTTCTTCTCAATATCGTTAAACTGACTAACTAACCTAACCTAACCTAACCTACAATATAATTTCCAAAAATACCAGCCCACACGTTCAATTTCTGAGGATTTTATGTGTGCACCTCGTGAAAAACCCTGAGGTTGTCCTCAGCCCAGTACCGACAGTTGTGCCGATTAACTACACCGTTCAAAAAGAAAGTACACTCTTCCGAAAAACACACATTAAATAGGAAATTATTATCATTCGCCACTCGTTCACTCATAGTTTCACAAAATTGCAAGCGACGATCAAAATCGTCTTCGTTGAGTTCTTGTACCAACTGAATTTTGTACGGGTGGAACTTGTGTTTTTTTTAATATCCTTTGGACACTTGTACGATTCACGCCGGTCTCATTGGCTAATTTTCTTGTACTCAGCTATCCATGGCAACTTGACCCAATACGAATACCTCCATAGCTTCATTTACTACAGGCTCTGCCTCTTTTTATTCATAACGGAACCAGTTTCGCGAAATTTTGCTACTAACTCGCGAACAATTTTGCCATAAAGGTGTTTGTCAGGATAGCGTTCGTTGAATATGTGCGCAACCCGATACATTCATTATTATTAAAATAAAGTTCGATTATTTCCACTTTTTCTGCAAGTGAGTACACCATAATTGTTAAGAACTTTAACGATATTGAGAAGAACTTCAACGCACAAGTCACAGAACAGCTATCTAGCAAATGCCGCACCTGATCGTTCAACCTTGCGGCAAGTGAAAAAATGCGTAAACATCTAGAAATAATAAGAAAAAGCCTCAAATTGGTCGAAATAATTTATCCTTATCATTCACTCTGATAAATGTTTAAATAAACTTTTCAAATTTCAATCCTTCATATTTTCTCAATGACTCGACCGATTTTCAAAAGCGAAGCGGGAAAGTATAGAGAATAGAAAGCCCTTTTCATTGCGGGGGGTACCACTTGACCCCCCTTTCCATTTGAAAAAAGTTGGGGGATGACAATCATTTTTGGGGCAAAAGTTGTCGCCCTCACAAACAAAATTGACGTGTTAGATTTTTTGAAAAAAAAAATATACCTTGGCCGTTATGCCTAGCGGAACGTTTTCGATGGGCCACCCTGTATAAATAAAACATGTACAAGTATACATTTCAGTATGCTGTTCACAAATTAAAGTTTTTCTATGCATTAGTTATTATTAGTTATTTATTATA